TCCTTGGGACGGGCTGCTCCTGCATTCACGTACGTCTACTATGAGTCAGGGACTGTGTTCACACTAAATTCTTACCAGATCAGAGATTGCTTTTAGAAAAGATGCCACTTCTGACAAAACCAAATCAAGATGGTGCTTCAGATTCGGGACAGATAGTAGCAGAAGGTGCCAAAACCACAGTGTGACTTACAAAGCCCACCAGCTGCCTGTGGACGTACTACCTGCATTAAAGTCCCGCATGTTTCTGGTACAGTGCAAGAAGAAAACCCGCTGAGTTCTCCCATCATCCCTTTTTACTCCTACCTTTGCTCTTCAGTAACTACATACTCCTCTGAAAACGTGCATTTCACAAAACACACAAACAAAAGGAACCATGGATTTCCTATTATCTGCCTTAACTGGAAACCAAGGACGCTGCAATATCTTCCCCCAAGACAGAGTAACAAACAAGTGGAGTGTTCTGCTGGAGCAGTCCCGGAACCCCGATTAACATTTTATTTGCTTTCTAACATGCAAGAATTATCAAGACTGAGGACAGGACAAACAAAGGGAAACACTACAGCCATGGAGATCGGTTGAGGGCCACCCCTCCCCAGTCTTCTGTTGTCCAATTACACCCATGAAAAATATCAGCAGAGCATCCGTACTTCGTAGCTCTTCACAGCACAGTAGGCCCAGCTACTGGCAGCTAAGTAACTGTCTCTCCTGCTCCCTTTTGGGAACCACCCAAAGTTGCCCTGTGATTCAGGCAACACACAAAGCCCAGCTCATGGTAAAAAGAAAGCCCAGGACTACAGTTTGCATATGCACAAAAAAAAAAAATAAATCCCTGAAGTATTCCTTAAATGAGAGAGAGCTTGAGGAAAGCAGGCTCGTGTTTGGAGATGGCCTCAACTGAGATTCAGGGCTGCCGTGGGCACAGAGATTTAGTGACAAGACCAGACCCGCACACAAAAGCATTAGACAGGTACAACTGATCTAAGCACAGAGCATCAATCACAAACGCTGCACTGCGAGGCACTGCCTCACAAGAGACAAACATCTACGATTCAACGCAAGCATGCACCGTCTAGAAGAATTAACTCTTACCTTTTCATTCTAACACACAGCAGGATACCAAACAAAAGGGACAAAACAGACGAAGCAGGCATTAGGGACAGATCAATGTTATACCATTCACAGCATCAACAACTACCAGAGATAGCTAGAAAAGAATTTTGTGGACTCAGCTCTTCTCTCTTTTCCCATGGCTATCATCTTAACTGAGCCATTAGCAGCACGGATGGCCACCTTCAGGATGACCCTGTTCCCACTTCCACCTCCTGCTTTGACATTGACAGGGCAAGGGAAGATGCATGCCAAAACGCTAAGATGTATCGAAGGTTGCACTGCTAGAAATCCCTAATGATACAGACAAGCCAAGGAAGAACAGTAAACTGCACGTGCAAATAAATAAGCATCTTTGAGACTTTCAGAGGAGCAAATGGACAGTTCTGCTCTATCAGCATTGCTCAATTTCTCCTTTGACCAAGTCAGAATGACATACTCAATGACCTTGTCAGACACCTTTCCATTGGTAGTCTTTCATATGGCAACAATACTGCACAGCAAATGACAGCAAACAGCGTAACGAAGCTTGTGCAGGGGCAGGGGAAGCAAACATTCCTAACCAGAGGAAGAAGAGTGACTTTGACTCTCAAACCCAGAGGCTAAAATGGAAAATGATGTAATATAGCATGCACCAGGGATGAGGTATCTACATGGGTATCTCTGCCCTGGGTCTATACAATTGTGTGGCTGTGGCTAAGGCATGCAGGTGTTGGTATAAGCCTCAGTTTTTTATCTTTGCCTCTTTACGTTCAGTACCTCTGTGATTCCAATGTTACTATGCAATTAGATACAAAGAGTGGAAAAAGCCCCCAGGGAACATCAGAGAGGACACTTTAAATCTAACTTTAGGATGAGTTTCATACTGCACAGTCTCAAGACTGATGTTTGACAATTTACCAACTTACTGAAGGGGATTAGGGCTAGATACACCCAAAATCCCCAAATTTAACAACTTAAAAAAAAAATGGTAACAAGTAGACAGAATCATTAAATTCTTCACCCAAATAGTTTTAAGGATTTTATTACACTTTCACACTGCTTTCACTAGGGAGACTAAGAGGCTGCATCAGTAAAAAAAAACAAAAACCCCAGCCCACCACAACCAAAATCATAAATATTAACTCTACAATATTATCAGTTCACCCTTACCTTTCTGAAGTGTGCAAGCATGTCTGGGCTTCTCTCACACATCTCTGTGAGGAGGACAACTGACGTGTGAAGAACACCTAAAGGTGAGGGACGGAAAAGAAAAAAGTATCTACATTTAGCATAATTTAATTGGCTCCAGACAGGTGACAAAGATAATAAGGAAACCACAGGAAATAATAATAATAAAAAAATAATCTTCTACAATACAGCATATCTACCCCAAAATATATTTGCACTTGCAGCTGTGCCCAAGGGAACGCAGATAGCAACATCCTCATGTCTTAAAGCTGCAACTGAAGGCCAAAGGAGGAGAGAAATTGGACTTTGTCTGCAGAAACTTGCATTCTAAATATACAGTTGGATGGTAAGAGACAGAGTTGGACTAGGTGACCTTTAAGGTCCCTTCCAACCCAAACCATTCTATGATTCATAGAAATCATAGAACCATTAAGGTAGGAAAAGACCTCAAGGATCATCAAGTCCAACCAAACACCACCCAACCCACTAACCCATGTCCCTAAGCACCACATCTACACGTTTCTTGACCCCCTCCAGGGATGGTGACTCCACCACTTCCCTGGCCAGCCTGTTCCAACGCTTGATCACTCTTTCAGTGAAGAAATTTTTTCTAATCTCCAGGCTAAACCTCCCCTGGTGCAACTTGAGGCCGTTTCCTCTTGTCCTATCACTTGTTCCTTTAGAGCAGAGCCCAGCACCCACCTCACTGCACCCTCCTTTCAGGCAGTTGTAGAGAGTGATGAGGTCTCCTCTCAGCCTCCTCTTCTCCAGACTGAACCCCCCCAGCTCCCTCAGCCGCTCCTCGTCAGCCCTGTGCTCCAGACCCTTCCCCATCTTCGTTGCCCTTCTCTGGACCTGCTCCAGCCCCTCAATGTCCTTCTTGTGGTGAGGGGCCCAACACTGACCCCAGGATTCAACATGTGGCACCACCTATTGACAAAGAGTCTTACAGACCACTGCCTGTTTGAAGCAGTGCCTGGTCTCAACGTTCCGATCATCACAATTTAAATCAAGGTAAAGTAGCTGCACACACATGAATCACATTCCATGTGCAAGCCGTCCTGTATCTCAAAGGTTTACAACACATGTGGCAAAAAAAAATGGAAACAATAGTTTGTCAGGAAGCTCCTGTGGCCTGGTAGCACTGTTGTACTTACAACTTCCCCGTCTTGAGACTGAATTTCCCCCTGTAATGGGTTTTCAGCATGGCAAACATCTGCTATAGAACTCCTAGCACACTCACCTATTTTCTTAAGGCATGTGCTCACTGCAGATGTGACCCAGGACTAAGACTTTGGGAAGTGAGCAGTAGGCTTGATACAAATTAGTCAAGGTGTTAATATTAGCATTTCTCTTTAAATAATCTTCTAGAAGCACTTTCGCAAGAAAATTCATTAAACCAGAATAATTTTGCAAAGGACCATTAAGGTGAAAATGTGTTTTATGATGTAGTTCTGATGAAAAACAGCACTGAAGAAAGACTTTCCTGATACTCAGTGCTGGGAATGTGTGCTAAAATTATATCAGAGAATCCTATAGTGCTACGCTAACAGAAGAGACACCCCCCCCCCAAAAAAAAAAAAAAGTGCACATTAGAGTCCCTTCAGGCAGTGTATTGGATAAAAATCACAAACTTTCTCATTTCACACACTCTGAAGTGTATCAGAAAACAGTGGGAGTTCCTTTTGTCACCCATGCCACATGACACACCCCTTCCTTCTGAATGGCATTGGCTTTCACTGCACAGAAATGGGAAGAAACACATCATACAAATACACCTTGGAATTTCCTTCCAAACAAAAGGCTCAGATAGCAAGTGCACCATCCCATAAAGGATGGCACAGCCTTGCTAAGCAGTGTCTCAGGCATTACCATGGTTCTTCTCATTCAGCAGGTTTTTGGTGGCTGGCAGGAACATCTCCATGAGTTCAGGCACCTTTCTAATGACATGAACAGCGCACAATGCCGCCTGCACAGGAAGAACAGCTTTGTCAGTACATACTGTAACGACAACGATACATGTTCTGAGAACATCTAGCACAGTGGGAACCATCACCCTCTTCATGACACACAAAGGCCTGGAAAGTTTACGGTACATTTTTCTGTCTCTCTATGACAAGTGATACTAAACAGCATTCAGAGAAGAGTTCAATAAACCCACCCCGAGCGAGGACAGAGGGAAAAAAAAGCACCGAGCTACAAAGTAATATTCCCACTAGCAATGGTTCATTTTTACATTATTCACATCAGAAGCGATACTAACTGCACAGCAGCTCTGCCTTTAATAGGGCTGCTTCAGCTTGTCCTCCTGTTGCTAGGGAGGGGACACTGCATTGGGAGCAAATAATGAAATTTATGTCAAATTCATGGTTCATCTTCTTTCCCCTTGAATACAGTCTCTTTCCCCACAAAATAACTTACACCTGCAGGTGATGGGTCCTATGAAAAACAAAAGTACACTCCAAAAATATTGCCTGCTTCTTCTAGGGTGCAGAAGCAACAGGAGACATCATTGCTTGCAGCTGCTTGAGAAGCAAGCGCACTGAGGGACTCTTCCCAGAACACTGCAGGACCTCTTGGCATTGCTTTCTCTACGATCTCTCCCTGCACCCAGTGCTGGACAGAGAAGTACCAGTGCACATCTTCCTAAATCTTACTGCTCCCCACCCTCCCCAAGACCTAACTACGAAACAAATTTAAAAGAACAAGGGCGATTACACTTTGCAGATGCTACAGCACATGTGTAGGAAATGAGACAATTTGTAACTGTTTGCCCCTTTCAAGCCCTTAACCTTTGTATCTCACATACTACTGTTACCACCATCAACACAAGAGATCATATAGTTTGAAATCTTCAGATGTCAGCCTGCACTGATAATGACCAAAGTCTCTCTGGACTTACCTGAGAAGATACAGAAACAAAACTGATGACTAGAAGTTTAGAGTTAAGGTCCGAATGGGCAGGCGTTCACATTACTGTCAACAACCTTAAGGTAGAAAGAATCAAAACAGAAACAACTGCCTCACCTCTCAGAGGCTTGTCTTTTACAGGCTTACACACATCCCTGCTGTAGACAGACATGGAGTTTTGACCTCTATCCATCTTGCACACTGGGAAAATAGCCAGTGTGATCCAAGCCATCTAGTATTCCAGATATTAGCAAGGTATCTGATCAACCGTGAGTTTTAATCCATAACAAAGTATTCAAAAGTTCCCTGAAGTACCTTCTTTCTAAGATAGGAGTTGGAAGTTTTGAGGAGCTTTTCCACCTCTCCCGCAAGGTCTCTGCACATCTCTGAGGAGCCCATGCAGCCAAGGGTGCAGAGTGCCAGCCCCTGCACATACTGCGTGCTGTGGTTAAGGTCACTGCAGAGGAGAACAAAAAGAGCCAAATCAGCATGCACACAGAGAACCTGAACGAGAGGAGGCATCTGTATCTACAGCCACCTAACCAGCTGCACACGTGGCCAGAACTCCTCTCCAGACTCCCAGCTACCTGGGAGCACACGTTAGGAGCAAGAGCAGCTCTGAGTACACATTCCACAGGGTTTGCTACCACTTCCACTTAGAATCCTTAGAATTCTAAAGATAAAATACTCGGTTAAATCTATCAGTGGGTATCTAGGGATTGAGCTGAGAAGAGGGAAGACGACACAGAATTCCATTAAAACTTCTGAAGTAAAGCCAAAACATTGTATTTTGGGACTTGCATGCAGAAAAGAACCTAACATGAAGGACAGTCCCGCAGTGACGCTGTGGGCTGTCACATTTTAAATGCATTCTAGGACAGGCTTCAGCTTCTGCCTTGACGAACCAAGCCGCACATAAAATTCTGTGTAAAAATATCCTCCATCCTGAGTAAAAACCACACACCCCACCACTCGCACACCTCAAAAATAATCCACACAGAAATTTCATTTAGCAATCCTAACTGTTCATATGCCTCAGGAAGTTGCAAAAAGCAGTCACTAGTAAGGTAAATCACGTAACAGGGGATGCTATTTCTGAGGCCAGCTAACAATGTCACCCAAAGTACAAGACAATATACCTTTGGCATGGCAAACCCAGCAGCCTCTAAAACTAATTTCTACACTGCTTTTCCATCAGACTATTTGGTATTCATGTCACCACAGTGTCTAGGATTCAGTGTTGAAGAAGGTAAAACCTATGGTTCCTGGTTTGGGCGGCAAGGGGAGCTGGGGACCGCATGATGGGAGAGCGGGGAAACAACTGGTGTGCAACCGAATGCACACACCGTGCAGAAAGCAAGAGACAGAATTCTGGTTGTAACAGCAAGCACCCATGGCAACATGCAGATGAAGGAACAGATAGCACATGCCACTACATGGGTTGGTTTTTTGTTTCCTTCCTTTAAGAAATTTTTGGCAGCTATATACAGCTGTGTGTATGACCAAGCAAGTGCCTCGCAACAGTGCTCACATTTTTTGTATCGGAAGTCTAGGTCTTGCTATAAAATAATGGAAGACAATACCACAAATCAAACACCTTAGGTCTAGATAAAAGCAAGACAAAGTGACAGGTACAGAAGCCAAAGGAGAAAGCAATAAACAACCCACTGAGGTGGTGGGGAGCTCTCCACCAGTTTTGCTCGGCTCCAGTCTGACCCATTTACAGTTCAAACTCACTACACTCTTCTCAAACTCATTTTAGCGTAAAAAAAATCAAGAGAGGTGTTAACCTAGCAGTCTAGTTCTAATGGAAGAACCTCACAGGTACGACGCTTCAATGAAAAATCTTTAGCCGAAGTCTCTTCTCTCCTGGATGCTAGGTCCACAGCCACAGATCCTCCAGCCTGCAGTTTTGTCAAGTTTCTCTCCAAGCCCTTTGAGGCCACTGTCTAACTGAAGAACAATACAATATGTGCTAGTATCTGGGAGGCTTATGTTCTAGAATTAAATAATAATAAAACCAGACACACCACACACCATCGAGCAGGCATTTGGATAAATCAAACAGAACCCAGCTGTTCCACTCCTGCTCCCACCCATCTTGAAGAGGAGCGTTATCGGAACGCAGCAGTCATCACCTACCGAACTACACTGTAAAACAGCCCAGTGTAACAGCCTTTGGCTGAGAGGAAAAAAGAAAAAAAAAAAAAAAGCTTATTTCCTATCCTCTCGTCTGATTTCAGCAAGATACCAAGCAGACAGCACATCCCAAGCTGCTGCCTTGCTTCCAAGGAAAACGATTCACCAGGATGGTTGGGCCAACCTTACAAAGAAAGCAGGACACACAGCCTTGGTTCTTAAAGTCAGATGACTCTTCAGAGCTCACCAGCAGAAGTCAAGTAAACCCACGCAGGACAACATGGCTGCAGCATGTGACATACAACGGCCAATCCAGCCTGCAACCTTTTAACAGTGTTACAAAATCATGCTGATTCAATCATATTTAAGAGGCGCATGGACCTTTATTGATGCTGATTACTGCTCGCCTGGCGCTTTCCTGCAGCAAGCTGGAAGATAGCTAATTTACAGAAATGGAAGAGAGTTCTTCACAAGAACTGGAGGTCTCGTGCACTGATGAGCAGCTTACTGTGGTCAGTTCATCCTCCTGATTTGAGTGATCTTAACATGACCTCCAGAAACATGTACTACCATCCCGTAACAGCAGTTACACAAAGTGTTGTTTGCCACATACACCTCTTTAGGACCAATGCAATTTTATATTCTCTTCCCTCCCAGGAAGCTAGGCATGATCACCCAATACAGTACGATACTAGAACAGTCTGGTATGGTTAACAGCATACAACAAATTGAAGATAACAGTTTTCTAACACAAGGGAAAAAACCTAAAGTACTCAAAACATCACTGTCAGGGGTGTGCTGTCAGATCCTGAAACCTCAAAGCATGTGTTGATGGAGAGAGAGGTGGTACCCTTACTTCTTGATGCAATTGGTCATAAGAAGATGGACATCCTGTCTCTCATCCAGCAGCAACATGGCACCTAAATATCCAATGCGCTTGTCTGTGAATTTCTGAGAGGCAATGAGCTTGAGGCACTCCAACTGGAAAAAAAAAAAAGGAAAAAAAAAAAAAAGACAGAATTAGCTTAAACTACTTCTTAGCTAGAGGAAAAACAGTTTGAATTTTGATGTTTACCCATTTAGGTATCTTAGAATGCATTTTTAAAAGTATACTTTATTCCTGTTTTGGTGATGTGGAAAGCAAAGAAAGGTTAAACGACCTGCCAAAGGTCCCAGCAAGCCAGCAGAAACATCATTAGCAGCTCCTGCATAAACCAGATATAAGCATATACCGGATATACCAGATATGTGGGTTTATGTCAGACCACGAAAGTAAAAGATAACATACTTACAGAGACACGAGACCCATCACTAAAAACAAAATAGTAAAGATCTGGAAATCTAGATCACGGGTCATGTTTGACGTGCACTGGAAACTTCTGAACCAGGCTGAAATGGGTCCATCTACCCACCAGAAAGGGGATCAGTGCTCTGTGAGTTAAGTTTTCAAAACCAGTTTTTGTTTATTATTATAGGTAACTAACTTGCTAGCAAGGTAAACCTTAGATACAGTCAGAGACAGTACAGTTTTTGTGCTGCTCTGTAATCTCTGTTTGAACACCTGAAGTTTGACTAAGATCACATGCACTGTAGCCACTACAAACCTCCCGTCCATCATGTAGAAATGTCAACTGTGTTCAACAGCATAAAGGAGATCCCTCGGATAACGTGCACAGCTGCCACTTCCACTCAGCTGATTAAGAAATTAATTGCTAACCCATTTGTAAACTTTCTTACTGGGGGGAGGGGGGAGAGACATCAACCACAGGTATTCTGACAATATTTTTCTCTAACAGATAACTAACCAAGTATAATCAATCTCCACTTTCCGCACTGGAGGCAGCAGAAACGGCTTCCCAAAGCAGGTAAGAGACCTCTCCCCCACAAGCAGATCCTGTTAAGTCAGTTTTACAAGTTAGCTGGGGCAGCAAGGGAGCACACACAAAGGATGTAAGGAGGGGTCAGACAGAGCTTGCAACGGATCCATTGTAAAGGAAGCAAAGGCAAAAAAACAGGGCATCATGAAAAGTCTTCCAGGTCCCTAGCTACGGGGAAGCTTAACAGGGCCACAGACACAGCTGAGATGCAAGAAGCACAGACACATCAGGAAGGTAAAGCTGTACAGGATACTGATAAGAAAATGAAAGTGCTGAGGAAAGGAAGAGCTATGGCCCAGCTACTGACAAGTTCTCACAACTGCACAGCATCAGGACATACAACCCAACTGTACAAGAAGGTGCCACGTATGAACACCCAGCCTGAGCAGGAAACTGGTGAGAAAAGGCTTGAAAGAAAGGTCGGTTTGCTAGGTTTAAAGGGGCTGAAACTCTAGAATAAAGAACCACCTCTGAACATGCACAAACGGGCAAGATCAGCCAGGGATAAGGGACACAACACTGGATATCAACCTCTTATCTTTCCAGTGCTTTCTGTCAGAGAATAACGCACCTCTGAACCAACCTTCTTCTCCGGGTTTACAAGACACTTTCTTACACATCTCTCTGCAAAAATGCAACACGGAATCGATGACATCTAAGCTGCAGTGTAAGAGCCAATAAAGGCAGAAGACAAACAACTAAGAAAAAGCAGAAGGAAACTAATGACCACAACAGAGAGTGTAAGACATATTTCTAGTACTTTTGAATTTGAAAGACATTATTGACGTTTACTCCATGAAAGGATGATTACTTCTTGTTTCACTTGTATACAAATACATGCAAACTAGCTCCAGGCACGGCAACACTAAGAAACATGATCAGCTGAAGCTCTTAGTAGATCTAATTAGTGGAAGAAATCTTGATACCATTATATCCATTTCATTCAGAGAAACAATGAAAATCCGCTACATCAGTACTGTAACAGATACACCAGTAAAGCCGGATCTGATACAGGCATACAGTCAGACCACAGCTTACCCAGTTTCTACTGACATACCCACTCCTTCCAACTGGAACTTTTTTGCACGTGGAAATAATGACAATAATAATAAAGTTATTTGACCATTTTCCCAGGCTGCCTGATACCTTCTAAACTTGCACAAATGGCCTTTGCACAGGCTGAAGAGACAGCCTGCGATCCAGTACATATCAGCATGCACTGGCTAAATATAGGGCTCATGCTCGTATTTCTGTACAAGATATTCTGGGTCAAAGTTGAGCATCCCTGGCCTGGAAAGAAGTAGGTCAACCACTCACTAATTCTGACACCTTCTTTAAAGTCTCTTCTATCACTGGTTACCCCGTCCACACTGTGAGCTGAAGCCAGACACCTGCTACATCTCTAAGAGAGACTGTCTAACACAGCCTGTGGCTCTCTTCAGTTTCTCACCAAAACTCATCTTCTGCGTACTTATCCTGTCGCTGTCAGAAACTTGCCGTCTACAGCGCTGCACCGTCTGTCTACAGGACTCCACTGCTGGAACAGCATGTCTTCAACAGGTCCCCAGCTCGCACAAACTACACTCCACCTACACAACACTGCACTTTGAAAGATCCCTTCCAGTTACAAGCACTGAGGACAGGCAAAAGTGTGCAACTTACTCCCTTGGAGAACACTTGTTAAAATCCCTTCTCAGCCTTGGGCCCTAGACCCCTGTGAAACCACAGCTGATAAACCACATGAGAACCACGGCCGTTGAATGAAGTACTCTGTTCCCAAATAGTCAGCACAGATGCTTCTGTTTGAGATGTAGCAGTAACAGGCATTGAATGACCTGTTTTCTCCTTCTTCCACTTAGAGTGAACAGAGAATTTACCACTACTGACCAAAGCAGAAACTGAAAAATTATTAGTTATCTGGTCTAATCTTCCATATATGGGATTAAATACTTGAATAATAAAATAAACTAATCCAAATAAAATTTAAACATATTCCTAACTTAAGTCAAAGGTAGAAATTCAAGATGACACTTATCTGTAACGCTTTTCATTCTTTTTGTAGCTCTTAGACACTTAGCCTTAATTTTTGCGACAGGAAGTTTCTCTCTTGGACCAGGGAGCCTGGCTACGTCAAGTGTTAAGAACAGGACAACAAACCAATTCATTTGCTCTTATGCAACAGCTCGCTATCCTGGGAGAAGACTGCAATGATGCAGAAGTACGGTGATGCACTTTACATGCAATAGCGCAGCCCAGACTCACTCCCTAACACTAAGACTATTCAGAGTTTGATTTCAGTGGTTCGAGTTTACTGTTTCAGTGAGACATGTCAGGATTGGTAAATCCAGCCATGAATGGATAGATTCCCAAGACATGAAGCTACTTTAAGAGATATAACAATTTTACTTTTTATTTAGCTTCACGGAAGGCCTAGGTTAGATCACTACTAACAGGACACTTCCTGACTTCTCAGCAAAACAGACTACACCCCAAAGAGTAAGCAAAGCTCAACCTGAAGAACATTTTGTAGATTGAGAACTCTCATCTTCCTGTTTGCCTTTTCCACAACCTACTTGTGTCAAAAATAGCACATCAAAAATAAGCCAAGGAATGGAAAACTTGTACCAGCATTCTCCAAGTCACCTCACTGAGATGGGGATAAGGAGCACCACTTTCCTGTTGCTGGGAAGAGACCAGATTTTGTCTGCCTAGAACAGATTGCTTTAGAAGGGAAAGAAGACAGAACCTCCTTTGAAGCATCTGGTATTTTCCATCAGAGACAGAACTCCACAGCGCTGCTTTGCACCCATCTAGAAATATCCACAGGTACTGGCCTGTGGCTTCAGAACAACTGCTCTGCAGAAACGCTGGTGGTGAGGAGCAGACAGTCTGGCAGAAGCAGACTAACCCTAAGTTTGATAACAAAATACCTAAGTCTCCAAATAGCAGATCTCACTAACAAAGTCAAAACTAACTCATGTATGTTCAGAATGTATGTGAAGATAGACCTCAAAAGATCCCAAAGAACAGACAGCAAAACTGTAGTTGGGAGTGCTCTGAAACAGTCAACGTGCCCAGAACACACAAAGCAGAATGGCATACGCGCACAGCACAGCAAGCCTTCACCTTGACCCACCTGTCCAAAATGTGCAGGGTATCCCAGCATGTGCATGTACAGCAGCTTTGCCACATTTCTGCATCGGTATGTGTTATCTTCCTCTCGGAAGGATGACCGAATAGCAGCACATTCCTTTTGGATCATCTCACGCTCTTCTGCCTGGGTTCTCGCTGTCCGGATGGTCCGGATCAACTCCCGCAGTCTGATGGGGGCTGGCATCCTCTGGGAAAAGAAAGAGATCTGTAAACCTTGTACTGTAACTAACGCCTTCACAATGGTATCACACTTTCACATTTTTTTTTCTTTCTTACCCTACAATTATACAAATAGAAGAAATAAGAAAACGCAGACTGCTTCAGTAGCATGGTTAAAAGCAAACTTGAAAACCGGAGGAATTCATTGTACCTCGCATTTGCTTTTCCAGAAGATTAGCAACAGGAATTGCTATGCTTTGAGCTAGCCATCAGGTGAACGTAAGACTTCTCACCTGAAGCAGGCAGGGACGGCACTCTGCAAGGTATGCTCTCATATTCACATCATCTGCTGCTTGCCAGAGAAGTCATGCTCCAGAAAAGAGCTGATCCCAAAATCACAACAACTTGGGACAGAAACCCTTTACAAAAAGCAATGTTGTTTAATAACTTACACAAGATTGCATACAAGTGTTTCAGATGGCCATGTTTCAAAAATCCTGCAAACCTGGGCCACACACACTTCCTTCTTAGGGGTGTGGAATTCAGCAGAAAAAGCAGATGGAAGAGCAATCCTTGCTGTGTGGATATTTCAGTGAATACTCTTTTAAAAATAAATAAATCAAATTGACACCGTCCTTTTATTACACACCAAACAGAACCATCCTTTCTAAAACAAAGAAGCCTGTCACACGGCTGACTGGTGGCACTGGTATGAAAAGAGAGTGCAAGAAAAGCGTATTCTACATGAACTCCAAGTCGTTCCAGTTCACCAAACGGAATCCTGACAGAGCCATCTGACCTACAGCGCAATTTCGTCTTCTGAGTATCCCTCCAGCAGAAAACACCTCTCAAACAAAAGCAGAACTTTAGAATTATGTTCAACAGTTGGACTTCTTAGTTCACGCTCACCAAAGCAGACTTTTGACTTTCTGGGAGATCAGAATATGCAAGTATCTCTACAGACTTCTTTCACCTGCCCTAGACTGTGATTACAAGTAAGCCACTCTGGTAACAGATGCTGTCACAATGACTCGTAAAAAGTTGCCGCAGCAGTCTGCTGCAGATTTTGTCTGGGTCATGGTCCTCCCCAAATGGTGTGTCATACATTTTAAACACTGCCATATCAGGAAAAGATGTGCATTCAGATGCTGCACTAATTGGCTCGCGTGACACCACAGGACAGACAGGCTGGGAAGCACCCGGAGAGAGCAGGGGACCTGCCTGCTGCAGAAAAGCAAAGAGAGATGCACATACAATGGGTGAAGGTGGCCTCGCAGTAGGACAGCTGAATCAGCTCTATAGGTCTGGACCATAGGTCTGGTCTCCTATGGAGCTTGTACACAACACCAACTCTCTTCAGTCAAACCATGCAGACCCCTCACATTCCGGTTCCCCATCTTCTGAACTGAGAGACACAAAGCATTCAATTTTGAAAATGGAAGAGCAGAGATGTTCTTTCTACACAAGGAAACGCTGCCCCAAAATGCTGAAAAGCGTAGGATCAAGATAATTGGACATGTTAATCCTTAGCCCTGCCTTGCCTCTCCATGTGGATTTATAACACCTCTTCACATCACTGCGATATGGATAAATTACTGTTTACTACACATCCAGATGCTGCACTAACAAGTGCCACAGAAACGAAACGTGAAAACCCTGCAGAGCGTCAGGAGCAATGCACGGAGACACACCTACTGTACAGTCTCTGGAGACTGCAGGTGCCAAAGTGCAAGTCTCAAAGAGCACATACAAACCCTTTTTGCAAATAATATTTGGCCAAACTGGAAGGCTGTTTTCACTAGTGCAACAAAATACACATCCTAAAAACAAAAGGACAGCTCCCCAGCAAGTCAGTCAGAAGCATGAAGGTTTCTAAGCTTTTCAAACAAAAGGTAGTTTAATTCTCTCAGTTTCCTGCTGCATCCCCCTATGCACACATAATAAAATGCTTTTCCTATCCTAAGAGAGAAAAATGCTTTTCTAAAATCCTGAAAAAAAAACTCTGATTAATAGCTTACCTGGGAAAGTTCAGCACAAGCAACTTAGAACTATGAAAAACAAAAGGAAAACAACTGAAAACATGGATTGAAATGGCATGTAAAATTAAGGTAACTGGGCAAGAGTTAATTCTTGCACACTCAAGTTCCAATACAGCTCGTACTAGTTGTTTCCTAGCTGTTGTCTGGCTGTGTTGCTTTACTCTAGGGTAGTTTACTCTTAGCGAAAAGGGACAAACACAGACAGGGCTATCCCTGGAGGCGTGTTAACTTGCTGCTAATAAGACCCTACTACATACCCCAAAAAACTGGTTTGCACAAGCCTGTCCTTAGACCCTGCCTTCAGAGCTGAAGCTCTGAATGGAATTTAAGGTGTGAGGAGGGTATTCTGCAACAAGGTAGGATACAACCCCCTCCCAAGTTCTGTGAATCCTTATAACAACACTGCTTAAGTTCATGTTTCTGTTCTGAATCTGTCATACTGGAAGTGGTCTTGATCTCCTATAAAAGCTATTCCTCATTACTTCAAGTTGCCCCCTCATTTCTGTAATAGTCTTCAGCTTACCCTACTGGATTACAGAAAGAACACGGAATAGCCGCTATTTACAAACGCCTCTGCATAAATAATCAACCAGCAAGCCACACTGTAAAGGTTATTTTTCCTTCTCACATCACAACCACAGGAAAACAAGCAGAAACCAGCATTTAGGAAAGCAAAGAATCAAAGAATAAAACTCATAATCAGAGAAGTTTCCTCCTGTCTTCATCCAGCTGTGCAACACGCTGACAGGCAGTGACAGCCGCGGTCCAACCTGAACCACTTCCCAAGAGCAGCGTATCTCGCACAGGCTTCCTGTCTGATAAGGACAGAACAATTCAGAACTGCTCTGGTAGAGGACAGCATAAAGGGCAAAACCCAAAGCTGTGATTTATTTTCCAACAGTCAGAACTCCTGTCCTTGTGCTGTAACGCCATACTCAGTATTTTTCTAATCCATATTAAAATAATTCATTTTTTTTAATGTACCTGTGAACTCTTCCCATAAAAGAAGTTTTGCACTCGTCTACACAGAACAGCACCTTCCCCTCACAAATCACTCCACAGGCTTATCACTTGGGGCTTGAGCTCCTTTCTCATGCACGTGCTCCTCCAGCCTTTCAGTGCACAGGAGTTCCCATGCAATGTATCAGGTTGGCTTTTCTTCCCCTCCACAAGCAAGCATTTTCTTACGACCAAGAAATCCTGACATCAGGTATTTGATTTCTGCCTTCAGCGACTTTAAGATTCTTTTGCATGCTAATACACTGGAAATCTCATCTCATTTTTAAGCTTCAGACATTGCAAGTTAAGTGTAAGCAGCAGATATTGCAGCTGTAAAGAAACTCTGGACATGGGAATACTTAAATTCAGAAACATCCCAGAGCAGATGAACGTCTCCCCATCACCAGCTCTTCCAAAGCCTGTCACAAGGGCTACAGACCTTTAGCGTGATTTACCTTGGGTAATTCCCCTTGGTTTTCCATTAAGCATGACTGTTCCTGGGACACAAAACGCACACAAACAGCAGCCGTGCAGGCACGGCACAGAGCCCGCCTAACCCAACACCCCGCCTCAGGACGGGACGGAGCAGGGGTACGGAGATGTAACAGACACAGTACATCTTCTCCATACCTTCCCTGCCTCCAGGGTTTGCCGCAACTTCAGGGACGTCCTGAACCAGACTTCTGCACAGCACCTCTCCACAGATCTGTGGATTTATTGCATCACTTTTTGAAAGCATCTACCCTTTCTCCCATTCATACCCATGGGAATCATTTGCACAGTTTAGCTATAAATTCAATGAAAAAATACATTTTGCTTTAAACCTGCTGTCAGACCAAGTAAGGGATACTAAATGAAATTCTTACACCATGAGAAAGGAAGCACTCATCACCTATTAATTGATTTTATGTCACCTGCGACCTCACAGCCTTTAACTGTACCTACCCCTCAGCCACCTCCCTTTCCAGGCTGTACAATCCTGCTCTAATCTCTTCCTGGATGGTGCCATTGCACAACTCCTTCGTATCGCTCTGTACCTCTCAGAATTCCACTGAAAAAAAACAAACCAAAGAACAGCAGACCTATAAAAAGTATTCAAGCAACAGGTGCACCATGAGTTTACACGGATTTTTTAAATTGTTTGCACTTAGAAAGTTAAAAACATTTAAACTCTTTGCCTGCTTGGCTCCTGTTGAGCTGACGCTTTTTTCTAAAAATCCTCCAGGTAGCTCTAAGACCCCTGGCTTGAGTGACAACTTATTTAGAGCCACTCACTGTGTATTTATCTTTACAGTCATTTATTTTCAGTGTAGGCATTGCTTTGCATTTATTGACAATGAATTTGTTTTACCATCTTCTCGCATACTTCCTTAGCACCATAAAATCCTTCCGCAGCTTTAGGATGAAGCTGTCACCTCACTATTCTCTCTTCTCCAGGTTGCTTTATGAACATGCTTAGTGGCGCAGTTCTGCAGAGTGCCTCTCAATAACATCTTCCTGTTATGAACGCAGACAAATTCTCTATCACAGAATCCCAGAAGGGTTTTGGCTGGAAGGGACCTTAAAGCCCACCCAGTGCCACCCCCTGCCATGGGCAGGGACCCCTCCCACTAGCCCAGGTTGCCCAAAGCCTCATCCAGCCTGGCCTTGAACCCCTCCAGGGATGGGGCATCCACAGCTTCTCTGGGCAACCTGGCCCACTGCCTCACCCCCCGCACAGGAAAACATTTCTTCCCAAGATCTAATCTAGATCTGCCTTCTTCCAGCTTATACCCATTACCCTCGTCCTCTCAATGCACTCCCTGACCACGAGTGTTTCCCCGTCTCTCCTGCAGCCCCCCAGGTCCTGGTACATGTACATGTGCAGTGTCTGGAAGGACTGAAGGCAGAATTCTTCCACATCACCGAGTCTGTTTCCCACTTCTCATTTTGAAGGCTCTGCTCATTAAGAGCAATACCTACTATAAAGATCACAGCTTCTGAAAGAG